ATGTCACGTGATGATCTATTTCATATCTGATTGGCTCTCTGGTGCTAGCTGTCACTGCCTAATACCACGTTCCAGCGCAAATATAATTGGTTCATTTGATATCCCTCTCTTACGTCATACGCTACAAGTCGGTCCGAATTTACGTCGCTTTCAGTGGCTTTATGTAATTTTGTCGGGCGTAAGGCTGCTGCATATATTGAAAATTTCTGATATAGTTTTGTTATATTTATAAGTTTATAATTGTCTCCGCTCAAATAACAGGAGTTATTTGTTTTCTTTGAAAAGGTTTAGGGTAAACTATGCTATACTATATTAGTGATATTTTTTTTCTGTTTGCCTTTCTCTCTCTCTCTCTCTCTCTCTCTCTCTCTCTCTCTCTCTCTCTCTCTCTCTCTCTCTCTCTCTCTCTCTCTCTCTCTCTCTCTCTCTCTCTCTCTCTCTCTCTCTCTCCTCTCCCTCTCCCTCTCCCTCTCCCTCTCCCTCTCCCTATCCCTCTCCCTCTCCCTCTCCTTCTCCCTATCCCTATCCCTCTCCCTCTCCCTCTCCTTCTCCCTCCCCCTTAATTTTCCCCTTTCCCTCCCCCTCTTCCTATAACACTTAACCCATTGCCGCCGGGGAAAATGGGGAGAATGCAGTACTCATTTTTTATATTTTTGTGAAATATCTCTGTCCATAGATGGCTCTCCTAGTCCTGGTTTCACCTTTCCTTGAATTGGCGGGAAAAAAAAACGTATTCTCACTAGTGCTATAAATATAGATGGTGTTATTTTTAACAGCAAATTAGGATAACGTTAAATATTTTCGTAAATCGATGAAAAGGGTGAACGGGCGAGACAGGCAGTACTCGTAATTGGCTCATTGGATACTTAGTACAAGTGTAGCCATCTATGTGTAAAAATAATCGAACAAGTCGACTCACAGTGGGCATGGCACGTACGTACATGCCATCCCCGGCGGCAATGGGTTAAAGATTACGTGATAGATCTTTAACCTCTCACTCTCTTCATCACCAATTGCGTCATCACCTTCTTTAGAGGAAACCCTCAGCTAACTCGTATCATATATATATATTCTCTGTCTTTGTAAAGACTAGAAAGCTAAATTTCGGCTTCACAGACGCAATAAGACATATATTCCCTGCTCAAGACAGCTGATTTCAAAGATGAGATTGTTGTGACGACCACTGACGACTAAAATTAATGTAGCGTCGAAAAGAACATAAACTGCCCAATTCAGGATTTAAAAGTGACAAAAAGAAATATATATGAAAAAATGTATATAAACATGCAAAAGCAGATATATCGCAAGATATATTCGTGATCACACACGGAAAGAACGGTAAAAAACTAGAACATATTTTCAGTGATATATTTGATATCATCATTTACATTGTTACTATGACTGTTGCTACTGCTGCTATGTTATTATAGAATTGTTAATTATCGATAGCAGAGGTATAATTGATTTTCAAAAATTGCAATAGCCAATATCATCGTTAGAAAATGTGTAAAATACGCATTACAGTTACATGAAATGAAACTTTACATCCGTGAACTTCCTAAGTAGCTTTTTCACCCCACGTATTTTAACAAAATGGTCAGCATAGACATTAAAAATTACAACAAGGGCAGTCTACGCAGCATCACGCCCTCAGGCCTCACAAACCTTGGGCACTTTAGTTCACAGCTTTCAGTCTCCTTGTTGCTGCGCTACGGGTTGCTCATCCATCCGGACACAAAATGTATGTGGAACTAGTGTTTGTGTCGAATTTTTACTTGTGTATATAGGTAGATGGACTGTGAGGGTATCTATATATATATGGATATACATACATATACATACAGACACACACGCGCGCGCGCGCGAATGTGTGTGTGTATGCATATATATGTGTGTGTGTGTGATTCCAGTTCTATTATTCAATCATTTCGTTATTCAATCACGCCATCTTGCCAAACGTCTTTCCCTTGTTAGTTATCTCCTTTAGCGACCTGTGGTCTTGCCTCCAGTATGTATGATTTACCTAATGCCTCTTTTTAATGCACTTAAGGATATTCTCCACACCGGTCTGTTCCTAATTAATGTTCTCACTTGGTTTTCGAAAGGAATTTCTCGTGATATGTTAGTCCCACTGCTTTCACATTGGATATTGTTTGGTAAGTTTTATGCTGTTTGTTTGTTTTCTTATTTCATATTTCTCTGAGAAAAAAAGTGTGTATGATTCTTTTAAGACTGGATAGGGCATGACTAGACTATTTTCTTTCTGAATAAAATATGTCCAATTTTGTCATCTTCGGTTAGATCCGAGTATGTGACCAGATAAAGAAAACGAGAACTGCGATTTTTGCACAGGAAGGTTCCAAGTCTTTCCTTTTCTTTTCTTCTCTTCTCTTTTCTTTTCTTTTCTTTTTTTCTTTTTTTTTTGTCTCTACTGATTTTCCTGTTCTTTTTTTTTTACCTGCTGTCTCTACAGATTTTTTGTTTGTTTGTTCGTTTGCTGTCTTTCCTTTTCTTTTTCTTTTTCTTTTTTTTGCTTTGCTGATTTTTCCTTTGTTTTTTACTTCCCTCTACTGATTTTTTCTTGTTTCAAATGGAAGTATGTGCATATAAATACAGAAATATCCACTTAATATTTAGTATAACATTTTAGTAGTTAGGTATTAGTATTGATTTTATATGATTTTGCATTCGCACCATTACTTCAGATTTATGCATTTTCTTTAAAAAGGATAAGAAAAAACATATTGCTCTCCGATATGTGAAAAATGTCTAAAATCTTTAATGACTAATGCCATAAAAATGCCATGAAAACAAACCAACTGTCATGTGTTATGAAATGATGACCAGAGTAAGGTCAGGAAAACACTGTCTTAGAGAGGCATTTGGGTGACTAAAACAATTATAGTATTTCTATAGAACTTGTCATAAAATTTTCTATTTTTCCCTTTCTTTTGTGAAACCCCATTCACCCCTCTCCCCCTTCTAAAAAAAAAATCAATGAATACATCTTAAAACTCCATGACTATTTTCCCTTAGCGAGCGTAAACAGACTTGGTGAAATGGTTGTTCTGATGTTTAGGAGAACAACCGAATACTGTTTCCCTTCTGACATAGGAGGGTGGGAGAGTTAGAGTAATAAGTAGGTAAATGGTAAATAGATAGAGAGAAAAGGAGAGAGAAGGGGAATATATATATATATATATATATATATATATATATATATATATATATATATATGAGTGTGTGTGTATATATGTATATATATATATATATATATATATATATATATATATATATATATATATATATATATATATATAGAAAGAGAGAGAGAGAGAGGCAGACAGAGATGTACACACACACACCGTATGTGTATACATATGTGTATGTATTACTTCACGTATATGTAATACACAGCAACACATTAATAACCAAAGGTTCTTTAAATCAACTTGACAATATTGTTCCTCATGTCTCGGAATAAAGATAACTGATAATGTATACAATGAGAATAAAGATTACAGAGTATTGATGTGTAATAAAGATAGATATATTTATGTGTTTGGGGAGTGCGTGCATGCTTAAAAATAAATGTGTTTATTTATGTATGTATGCATACCGGTACGGTACATATATATGTTGTACACATATCTATGGACATGCACCTACAAGCGGGTGCATGTATGACAGTAGTTTGCATGTGTGTGGCTGTGAAAAAAAATACATTTATCAAAATTGATTTGTTTATTTTTTAAGGTTTCCGAGTGGTACGCCAGTTCTAACGCATATAGAAAAATTTAAAGAAATCAAGGCGCCACTACATACAGGTCAGGTAATTGTAAATGAATATATTTTGACTTTATGTCTAGAGGGTTCAGTGTTGAGTTTGTTCATCTGTATATGAATTAAAAGAGGAACAGGAAACTTTAAACATAAAAACAGTAAATTATAACAATGTGTGATTTGATGATAAGTGCATGTTTACAAAAACGCGCATACATTTAGCCTTAACTCTCTTTACCTTTTTTTTTCTTTTTTTCGATGATATTTAAAAAAAAAAAAATTCCTGCAGAATCCTATGCAAGGTAATGGAACTCCTCTGACCTCAGTCCATGACGTCACAGATAATCAACCTTCAGACAGTAGCATTCACAATGAGAAGGAGCCCACGTATAAACGCCGACTCCGTTATGCCAAACAGGTATTTGTACATATTCCGTACTGCTGTTCCACTGCCTGAACCGGTAAATGCTGGCGGCTGCTCTAAAATGTGAACGATGTACACAAGCACGTGTACATGCATGCCTGTGAATAGAGTATGTGTGTGTTTCAATAAATAAATATATATGTAAATAAAAATATATATAAATGAATAATATACTTTCATCCATGCACCCATGTATTCATACATACATACATACATGCATACATACATACATTCATCTATACATACATACATACACACACACACACACACACACACACACACACACACACACACACACACACACACACACACACACACACACACACACACACACACACACACATATATATATATGTGTGTGTGTGTGTGTGTGTATTGTGTGTGTGTATATATATATATATATATATATATATATATATATATATATATATATTTATATATGTACTGTGTGCATATATATGTATATACATATATATATATATATATATATATATATATATATATATATATATATATATATAATGTGTGTGTGCATTCACATACATATATATATATATACATACATACATCATACATATGTGTACACACACACACACACGTATATTATATATATATATATATATATATATATATATATATATATATATATATATATACATATATATATATGTTATGTATGTATGTATATATATATATATATATATATATATATATATATATATATATATATATATACATATACATACATACATACATACATATTTCGTTCTCTCTCTTTCTTTACAAGTTACTGATGCTTTTCCTCGTGACACAAGGACACGTGAACTTGGGGATGATTGTTTCGTGGTCCAACTCCCTCGTGTCAGACTTTCTGGTTGATAACTCCACTCTCTTCGGGAATCAGATTGCGTTCGCTCCCTGGGAGATGGATATGACAGGTATGGCACTTATGTCACATAGAATTTCGGTTTGTATGATCGTGTATGTTTTTTTTTTTTTTGTTTTTTGTTTTTTTTTGGGGGGGGCACGAGAAAATATATATATTTACATATACAGATATGTGTGTGCGTATGTATATATATATATAATTATATATGTATATATACATTTATATGTATAAATAAATATACACACACACACATACATATAAGTATATATGTGTGCGTGTGTACCTATGTATTTATGTGTATAAATGTGTATATACATATATATGTTTGGTTGGGGTTGGGGAGGGTACATATATACATATATATATGTATATATATAGAGAGAGAGAGATGTATGTATGACTGCCGCGCTGGTCCAGGAGAATGAATGGCTGTAATATATATATATATATATATATATATATATATATATATATATATATATATATATATATATATATACCTGTGTGTGTGTGTGTGTGCATATATATATGTATATATATATACATACATACATGCATACACACGCATATATATGTGTGGGGGGGTATGTACGTATATATATATATATATATATATATATATATATATATATATATATATATATATATATATATATATGTATATGTATACATACATACATACATACACACGCATATATATGTGTGTGTGTGTTTGTGTATCTGGCTGGACAGACAGACATACACATGCATAGAAAGATGAATGGATAAACACTAGACAAACAGACAGATAGATAAGCCCACAAACGCCCAATTTCTTCCAGGCAGCCTGCTCTTCATCGGCACAGCCTCCACCTTCCCCTTCGCCGGGTGGCTGGTCGCGAAGGCAGGGCGTCGTCGACCGATGATGCTGACCTGCGTGCCGGGAGTCGTCGGTTGGGCCTTCTGCGCCCTCGCCTCCGACCAAAAACTGGTTCTGGTTGGCAGGTTGGTGAACAATGCTAAGACGTTAGGTGCTGAGTTTGATTTGTTCAGTTTGTAACATATTTTTGTGTTTGTGTCTCTGTTTGTGGCTATTTATGTTAGGTTTTGAAATAAAAGTAAGGTGCTGAGTTTAATTTGTTCAATTTATAACATATTTTTGTGTTTGTGTCTCTGTTTGTGGGTATTCATGTTAGGTTTTGGAATAAAAGTAAAGTGCTGAGTTTCAGTTGTTCAAATGTAATATATGTTTGTGTTTGTGTGTGTGTTTGGGGCTATTCATGTCAGGTTTTGAAATGAAAGTTATAGATTAACGTTTTTGGAAAATGTTTTGAAGTAACTTTGCATGTAATGATTTTTTTCGATAGATGAGAAACATATCTGAGAGTTAGGGAGGGACGGGGTCAGTCCAAAGATATGAAGATTTTTCTATGATGGTTTGTTTAATTTCGTGAGCATTTCTTTTACAACAAAACACAGGGACGTTGTAACACCTTCAAAGAAAGAGGTTGTGGATTATGTGTCTTTAATTCTATGCTCTTTGTCTTAGTTTATAGAGATTTTTTTTCTTGTTTGGTTCCTTTTTTTGGTTACTTATATTGCCCTAGTTCAAATCAAGATCATATTCTTCAACATTTCCGTTGAATTCTGTGCATTCGAATAAGCTGGTTATTAATGTTTCATCAATTGCCCTGCGCTTTATCTTTATTTTATTCTATATATTTTTTACCTTTTTTTCTTTCTTTTTTTTTACTTTTTTATGTTAGAATGGTATCGCAAAAAACAGATCCGTGTTTTGTTTTTCCATCAGCAAAGTTCACTTTCCCATATCTTTTATTAAGTTCATAATATTCGTTAGCCGAAACTGCCGTTACTTTATGCGTACGTTACGTCCTTACCACTCAGTACATAAATAATTCCGTATATAACTACAATCCCCGTACAGATATTTCCAAGGTGTGAGCGGCGCTATCCTTGGATCTGCAGTCCGGACTTACCTAGTGGAGGTGGCTGACACAGGCATCCGTGGCGCCGCCAGCATGCTCCCTGAGGTCATGAAGGGTCTGGGAGCCATCGCCATCATCGCCGCCGGGATGCTCATGCCCTGGTACTTCCTGGCCTTCATGTGCGGGGCGCAGATTCTCTTTTACAGCTGCCTTATCGTCCCCTTCTTACCCGAGAGCCCGACCTACCTGGCTGTCACGGGCGAGGAAGAAGAGGCGCGTCAGGTTCTCCGTCGACTCAGAGGCCCGACGGTCAGCCTCGACAAAGAAATTCAAAAGCTAAAGGAAGAGAATCGCCTTTCCTCCAGCGACAGTTCCATCTGGACAATCTTCTTGGATTCCCGAGTCGTGAAACGCATTCTAATAATAACTGGCATTTTCTTCATCACTAACTTCAGTGGGAGCGAAGTGATCCGAGTCAATGCCACGAGAATGCTCCAGGAGTCAGGTCTAGCCATGGACGGGGAAAAGAGTACCATCGTCGTGTTCTCGGTCTTGATGTGTGGAAATATCGCCGGCTTTTTCCTCCTTGACCGGCTGGGACGTCGGTGGAGCGTGGTCTTCTCCTTGATCCTCGTAGCGATCTCCCACACTGCCATGGGCGTCTATGTGTATTTCGACGAAGCGGCTGATGTATACACTACGGTTAACGTCGTGTCACTGGAGTCTGGCAATGTAACCAGCCGTTTGAATGAATATTCAACAGGTCAAAGGTAAACCCAATATTCTCTTTTATTGATTATAATATGGTAAACATAATAGAACAGTTCTTAATAAGTTAACATTAATATTGGTTAACAGTTCCAAGCATTATATAATGTTAGACAAGCTATTGTCATAATTAACGTCCAGTAAAGTCGGGTAATGATGTACAAACAATTACAAACGCATTCTTTGCTGAAATTAAGGTGAAGGGCATTAGAGTGTCAGAAAAGTAGACCTTATATGCATGCAATATGTATAGTGTAATGTATCTTTTCAGTATAACTACAGAAGATTTTACTTGGGTCCCTCTCGCATGCCTCATGCTAGCTGCTTTTAGTGCCAACCTTGGTGCTGCCCCAGTGCCCTGGATTCTGTCTGTCGAATACTTTCCTACTGCGATCAGGTCCCAGGTCAGTGTCTAAAATTATAGTGAAGATATAATTTACTTGCAGATTCGAATCGTGCCAAATGTCAATCAGTAAATTAGTTGAGATGTTCAAGTTTAATTATTTCCGTCAAATTTCCTACACAGGTGATGGGAATAAGCACAATGATAGGAAATCTGATCAGCTTCGCGGCATTACAGGCCTACAGTCCCATGCAGGCTGCGTTCACCCAAGCTGGCCTGTATTGGTCTTATGCTTGCGTGGCCGCCTTGGGCATCGTCTATACCCTCTGTTTCGTTCAGGAGACTAAAGGTCGTAGAGTGGGCTGACCTTTGCATAATACAGCTTTCTAAAATTTTTGTGGTGATTGAGATATGCATTTACG